TTCCTGATTTTTGTGACACTTTCCTGATTTGATTTGGTGGCAGTTTTCTGATTTTTGGTGACATTTTCCTGACTTGGTGGCACTTTCTTTATTGGGAGGGAGTCGTGGCTGTCCCTGTCCCATTAGAACTGAACTCTGTCTCTTGGAAAAAGTGATTTTGGTGGCACTTTCCTGATTTAATTTGGTGGCATTTTCCTGATTTTTGTGGCTGTTTCCTTATTTGATTTGATGGCACTTTCCTGATTTTGGTGGTTGGTAGGGGATCGTGGCTGTCCCTGTCCCATTGGAACTGAACATTCTGCTCCTTGAAAAAAGCTGATTTTGGTGGCACTTTCCTGATTTTGGTGGCACTTTCCTCACTGGGAATCATGCCTGTCCCTGTCCCATTAGAGCTGGACACTCTGTCCCTTGGAAAAAGCTGATTTTGGTGGCACTTTCCTGATTTTTGGTGGCACTTTCCTGATTTGATTTGATCACTGGTAGGGAATTGTGGCTGTCCCTGCCCTGTTAGAGCTGGACACTCCATGCATTGGAAAAAGCTGATTTTGGTGGGATTTTCTTGATTTTTGTGACACTTTCCTGACTTGGTGGCACTTTCCTCACTGGGAGGGAATTGTGGCTGTCCCTGTCCCATTAGAACTGAACTCTGTCCCTTGGAAAAAGCTGATTTTGGTGGAAATTTCTTGATTTTGGTGGCACTTTCCTGACTTGGTGGCTGGTAGGGGATTGTGGCTGTCCCTGTCCCATTAGAGCTGAACATTCTGCTCCTTGGAAAAAGGTGATTTTGGTGGCACTTTCCTGATTTTGGTGGCACTTTCCTGATTTTGGTGGCCGTTTCCTTATTTGATTTGGTGGCAATTTCCTGATTTGGTGGCTGGTAGGGAACTGTGGCTGTCCCTGCCTTGTTAGAGCTGGACACTCCATGCATTGGAAAAAGCTGATTTTGGTGACACTTTCCTCACTGGAAGAGAATTGTGGCTGTCCCTGTCCCATTAGAACTGAACTCTGTCCCTTGGAAAAAGCTGATTTTGGTGGAATTTTCTTAATTTTGGTGACACTTTCTTGGGTTTTGTGGCAGTTTCCTGACTTAGTGGTTGGCATGGGATCGTGGCTGTCCCTGTCCCATTGGAACTGAACATTCTGCTCCTTGGAAAAAGTGATTTTGGTGGCACTTTCCTGATTTGGTGGCAGTTTCCTCACTGGGAGGGGATTGTGGCTTTCCCTCCCCTGTCCCTGCTGGACACTCTGTGCATTGGAAAAAGCTGATTTTGGTGGAAATTTCTTGATTTTGGTGTCACTTTCCCGATTTTTGGGGCGTTTCCTCCCTGGGAGTGCCCCCGGCTGTCCCAGCCCCAGGGTGGGTGAAGCTCTTTGGGTCGGANTTTTGGGGAAAAAAATGGGAAAAATACCCCCAAAAATACCCCATAAAACAAATTTGTGGGATTTTATAGCCACCATTTATCCCGTTCTTTTGTGGGGGATAAATTGGAAAAACACCCCAAAAATACCCCATAAAACAAATTAATGGGATTTTGTGATTCTGTACCCACCATTATCCTCTTCTTTTGGGGGAAAATAGGAAAAACACCCCCAAAAACTAAAAACCCCCCATAAAGCAAATTAATGGAAATTTGTGACTCTTTAACCACCATTTATCCAATTTTTTGGGGGGGAAAATGGGAAAACCACCCCATAAAACAAATTAATGAGATTTTGTGACTCTGTACCCACCAGTTATCCCATTCTTGGGGGGAAAAATGAGAAAAACACCCCCAAAATCTAAAAACATCCCATCAAACAAATTGATGGGAATTTCTGATTCTGTACCCGTTGGGCTGACGAGGAACCCCAGTTCTCATCCCTGCCCTGGGCTCCAAGGAGCTGGACACTGNTGGTTGTGGAATTGTGGCAATAGCCACAGCTCTGTGGGATGGTCACAGATCCATGGGGATGCTCTGAGCTCTGTGGGGACAGCACCAGCTCTGCAGGGATGTCACAGCCCCCTGGCACTGCCCAGGGCCCCTGCTCCTGTCCCTTCTGTGGCCCGGGGGGATCTGGGACTCTCTGTGGGTGCCAGGGCAGGACAGTGGGACAGGCACACACGGACATGGGGACACTTGGTGCCAGTCCCCGCCTGCTGGGACCCCTCAGGACCCTCAGGTATTTGGGGTGGCACCATCACACCAAAACTCAGAGCGCTTCCAGAGGCTCCACAACGCCTTGGGGGCAGAAAATCTCCCCTTCCCTCCTCCCCATCTTTGCCCCCTCTGTCCCCTCCCATTTCCCCTCACCTAATGGGGACCTGTGCCCGCTCCGGTCCCGGTCCTGCTGCAGCCCCGGTGTCCCTCGGGATGCTGCCAGGGAAGCGCTGGGTCCCTGCAGCCCCCCCAAACCTCATCCTGAGCCCCCAAAAATCAGCACAGCACCGGGAGGGATGATCCTTGCCGGGCGCCCGGAGCCTCCCCCGGGTCCAGGCGTTAAACAAAGCAGCTCTTGAGCGTTAATTAACGGGATGAGCCCCGGGATGATCCGCGGTGCAGCCAATTCCCGTCCACGAGCAGTCCTGGCTGCATCCCGCGGCCATCAATTTCGCAAATGCAGATTTTGGGACTCAAACCAGCTCCTGGCATCGCGTCTCGCACTGGAATATTGTCCCTTGTGTCCCTCACCGGGGGGACACCGCGGCTGCTGGGGCTGCCCATCTGCAGGGAAAGCGGATTAGGGCTCGGCAGGCCGGGACATACGGGAGCAAACTGGATTAGGGGGAAAATCAGCCTTCTTCCCACTAACAGGATTATGGAGTTTTCAGCCCGATTCCAGCGCTGTCGCCGCCGAGGTGGGGACAGCCTGGGCTCGGCATTTCCCCACCTCAATTCCTGCTGGGATCGCAGCTGCAACTGGCGCGTACTGGTGCGTACTGGTGCGGCCGTGCAGGCTGGGAAGC